GGGTTTAGGGCTCTAGGGCTTTATGGTTTAGGGCTTCATGGCTTTTGCGTTTAGATTGTAGGGCTTCAGGGTTTCACGGCTTTTGGCTTTGCTTGGGGTGGACAACATTGTTTTGTTTTCAGCTGTGCTTTCCAAGACAGCCTTTGGTGAATAACCCAAAAGCCTGATGTAGGGGCCTAAATAATTACCTATACTGTTTTTTTCTTTGGGGGGGGTTCCTGTTTTTTTGCGCAATGGGCCCCAAAACCCTGTTCTAACCTATTGAGGCCTGTAAACCCTAAACCCATATACTAGCCCTTATAGAACCCTTGAAAGGAACCCTATCAAACCCTATTGAGGCCTTTATATATTTATACAGAACCCTTAAAGGAGCCCTTTAAAGGAACCCTATCAAACCCTATTGAGGCCTGTAAATTCAACCGATGACGTTCGTTTGCAGGGCTGAACACGCAGCGAAGCCTCCCGGAGATCCAGAGCCTTGCCATGGAGATTTCAGCGGGATACAGTTTAGCGGTTTAGGGCTGTTTAGGGGTTTTTAGGGGTTTGGGGGTTTAGGGGTTTAGGGGTTTAGGGTTTGGAGTGGTTAAGGGTTTAGGGCTGTTTAGGGTTTAGGGCTGTTTAGGGGTTTAGGGGTTAGTTTAAGGTTTAGGGTGGCTTAGCGTGGTTTAGGGTGGTATAGGGTGGTATAGGGTTTGTGGTTTAGAGTGGTCTAGAGTTTAGGGTTTAGAGTGGGGTTTAGGGAGTTAGGGGTTTAGGGGTTTAGGGTTTTGGGTTGAGGGCTGGTTTAGGGTCTGGATTGTTGAGGGTTTCAGGGTCTAGGGTGATTTAACCGCAAATAGAGTTACACGCAGACTGTACAATTCCTAGGCGTATATCCAACCAGCACTAGTGTTGATGATATAAATCCTGCATTATCTTAAGATAAGGGACCCTAAACTACAGGAATTGTGATATTTTCCTGTTTATGGGACCAGATGATTGTCATTGTTACTTTGCTTTCGCCCTATCTACTCCCATCATGTCCCATCCCCGTAATCTTAAACACACCCCACCCAATAGAAGCTCAAATCGTGCCTTTAATATTCAGAATTCAATTATGCGGTGTACTGATGTAATTTTGGCTGTTGCTGTTGGGGATCGTCCCGGGTCTTGCTCCTGCTTTTGCTCTTGCTTCTCCTGTTTGCTATCGTTTGGGGTTTAGGGTTTAGGGCTGCTCTTGCTTGTGCTCCTGCTCTTGCTCCTGCTTTGTTTTTGCTGCTGTTCGTGCTCTTGCTCTTGCTCCGGACCCCCCATAGTCCAAAATGGGTGTTCACAGGTGGATTTTCAGGAAAGTGCTATTATGATGAGGGGGTGTTCAGTAAATGGGGGAAGCGGTTGAAGCTTCAACGAAACACTGCGTTCAAGATCCGCCGAGGAGTTACTACGCGATCTTTGAGGGTGCTGCAGAGGCTCTTCCTGGACGGAGGCCGCACGACAGGAGTGGGATTCAGACATCAGCGGCCCGAAATCCTCAATACTTGCGCCTCAATTCAATTTGGATATCTATAAAAATAGAGCTTGGGGGGTACACGATATACTGGGAACCTTTAAGGGAGAGGATTTGATTACTCGGTTTTTAATTGCGTGCGAACCCAGAACCGGAAACCCAGACAGCAACAAACTAAACTGACAGCCCAATCTTCAAGTAGACCCATGATTAAAGAACTCGTCGTCTTCAAAGGTTTCAAAAATCGGCTCCCTATTAAGTAAGATCCCTTTTGAGCTAGATGAGGGTTATTGATCAGCGGGTAGACCAGGACGGCATAAAGGCTAAAGTGACAGGGCGCAGGGCTGCAGGGAGAGATGGAATGTGTCGAATGCAGAGCCCCCGAAATCAGCAAAGCAGGACTTAAGTACGACCAGGAGAGCCCCATGCCCCTGAATCAAGTTTAGGGTTAGGGGTTTAGGGTTTAAGGATATACCCCCGATCGCCTCCATACTGCACTGAATATGCCTCACGTAAGCCGGGGTTTGGGTTCAGGGAGCAGCTGGTGGTAGCTACACTGTGTTGGTCGCGGTGGTGCTTTCGACCTTAAACATATCCAGAAGTGGAACAACATAAAAAACTTCAAGGCTAACGGAGCGCCTCACATGTCCTAACGCTTTAACACTCCCACTACACTAGGATTAGGGCTTAGGGCTCAGAGGGCCTAGAAAATCTCCGAGACCGGACAGCCCTGGACTCTGAATAAGTCCCATGAACCCTAAGCCCTAAACCCTAAACCCTAAACCCGTGAAGCGGCTTGGGAAATTGAAACCTTCTGGAATCCCTGAACCCCTGAACCCCCAGACCCCGAAACAAGAAGCTGTAATATAGGGGCCTTGATAATTACCTATGCTACTTTGGGGTTTCCTTATTATACTGTAGTTTTAGTATAATATACACCCAAAACTCTACTCTGATTTTTAAGGCCCTTACAGTATCTGCCTTGCCCACTGCATAGGCAGAGCTCGGCTTCGTTGAGCCGCGCTTCACGTAGCCGCACCGCCACGCGCCCAGCATTGTGGCTGGGTTTAGGGTTTATTACTTGAAGGTTCAAAATAGCCCAAAAGCCTTCTGTGGTATGGCGTTTGGGCCCAAAAGCCTTAAAATACGAGTTCTTAGAGCCTTAGGGTTAGAGTTTCGGGCTGTTCTGGATTTCGGGAGTAGAGCAGGCTTCGGGTTTTAGGCATCGCGTTCCGGATTTCTGGTTGAACTGTTTAGGGCCTGAGGGTGCTGGAGCCTAGGGCTGTAGCTTTGAGGGATGGCTTCCAACCTGCGGGTCATTGTAATGTATTAGTATCCCCTTCCAGACATCCTTAATTAATATACATCCCAAAACCCTAGCCCAAACATCGAGTTCTTGGGGCCCTTCGTCCTTAGCCCTTGTCATTGCAACCTTTAGATCTGCTCCTGAGTACCATACGTTAATAGTCACTTTGGGAACTGCTCCTTAGAGGAACCTGTCTGAAATGTCTTCTCCCTCCTTGTTACTTAAAATCGCAGAAACCGTTCAGACTGAACCTAGGGAACGGAAACCATTCTTCGCCCGGGCTGTTTTTAAAAATAGAGCCCGATGGTTCAGGGTTTAGGGCTTAAGGTTTAGGGTCTAGGGTTTACTGTTAGAAGGGTTTAGGGACTAGGATTTGGGGTTTAGGGTTTATCCATCTTCCGTACATGGATGCTTGTTGTTGTTGTTGGGTCAAGAGCTTTGCAAACCTGTAAAGACCCTGGAAGAACCCGCAAAAGGACGTTTTACGATTCCCTAAGCCCCAAACCCGCAACTCTAATATAGGGCCTGAGTAATTACCTATACTTTCTTGGTGCTTCCGTATTATAATTACAGTGTAATATACCCCAGAGCCTAATTTTCATTGTCAAGGTAGCTACAGTAGGCCTTAAACCCCCCAAGTGGATCCTCTTGGACCCGAGACCTCAGGAGACTCTATCGCCGCAGTCTGGGCAGAAGAAGTCCTTCAGCTGGCTGGCCGCGCTGCTCTCCATCCTGCTCGTGGCCGCGCGAAGCGCTTGAGTTTTTTGTTCCGAGCGGTTTTGGAGTATTCGGGATTGAGACTCAGAGTTTGTAGGGCTCAGGTATTAGATGGTGCTAGTCTTGAGATGTTTGCTTGTCGTTTCGGAGATGATGGATCAAACCCCCCAGAGAGCCTTGGCAGAATGAGGAAATCCCAGTCCTACCCGCTTGGTCGCTTGGTCCCTTTCAATGATGGCCTCGAGATTTTTCGAGACACACGTAATGGTAGAAGACTAAGACGTACATGATCAACCATTCTACTCCAAGATCTTCCTCATGTTTCTGACACAACCAATATCGGCGTCTACAAGACTTCTTAACCTGGGAGTTTACGGCGGCCTGCTTTGTCGAAAAGGCATTACAGCAGTACTGGTAGCCCCGAAGCCAAAAGTGGCACATGGTGTGCTTGGAGGCCCAGGGGACTTAGTAAGTCGGTTATGAGTAGGATTATAATTGGGGTAACTCAATTTAGGGTACTTATAACTCTACTTATAACCTACTTACTAAGTCCCCTGGGCCTCCAAGTGAGCGTGAAGGCCACGTCGAGAAAGAAGGGGGACCTTGGTCGAAGCCTACAATCGACACCTCTTCCTGGCGTTCTTTTGGTTGGCTCTTAGGACTTTAACTTTTTGGGTTTCTATATGAACTATAATAAGGGGGCTAAAAGTTTAACTTTTAGGAGGGGTTCAGAAGCCAGCCAAGTCTTTAGATCTAGAATCACATTGAAGACGAAGTTGCTCTGCCACGCCCCAACCCCAATGCCCTAGACCCATCAAAATGCCTAAACCCTAAGCCCTAAGCCCAACAAAGAAAGCCTAAACCCTAAGCCCTAAGCCCAACAAAAACAACCTAAACCTTAAACCTTAAGCCCAAGAATCAAAGCCTAAACCTAAAACCCAAAGCCCAAAAAAAGCCTAAACCCTAAACCCTAAGCCCAACAAACAAAGCCTAAACTTAAAGCCCTGAACCCAACAACAAAGCCTAAACCCAAAGCCCTGAACTGAGGCACTGATTTTTCCGTTGCTGAGCTACCCGGCGCAGCCGTAGGTCGGAGCATGGCTCCCAATTTGCACGTTGAGAGGGGCTTGAGGGCAATGACTACCCGGACTTTAGAGTTTAGGGTTCTAGAGTTTAGGGGTTTAGGGTTTAGGGTCTAGGGTTTAGGGTTTTAGGGTTTAGGGTTTAGGTGGTCGGCACCACGAATGTCAAATCCATGAGACTGGGTTCAAACGATGCTTTTTTCTCACGAGTTGTGAACATGACTGTGACTGATTCAAATCTGGGGCCGAGGACGCTAAAGTGTACCGGCAACGAAGGCTAAGACTAGATCCGGTAAGGATCGCTGGGTTTAGGGTTTAGAGGGTTTAGAGGGTTTAGAGGGTTTAGAGGGTTTAGAGGGTTTAGAGGGTATAGGGTTTAGGGTTTAGGGTTTAGTCTAGGGAAGGCTACATGTAAGATGACGGCACGCCCCTTGTTGGGTCTGACTCGGAAGTTCTTGGCCCGTGCCCGACCCGAGAACCCAACTAGAACCCACGTAAGGGTTGAAGGGTTTACGAGTCGAGGCTTAAGACTGAAGGGGTTGTGTGTATTTAATTAAGAGTTTCGGGTGCAGGATTGAAGATTGATGACTCAACGGTTTAGGGTTTTAGGGATTAAGGTCCTGGTTCGACATAAATGTCTTAGACGACGTCGAACGAAAGCTTCAAGCTTGAAACACGTCAGCCGTAAGAAAACGCTATGGTCCGAGACTGTGTTCAGATTAAGCCCTCAACCCTAAACCCTTAAACCTTCAAACCCCAAACCCTAAACCCTAAACCCAAAAGGGCCCAGACCCAGAATCAAAAGCTCCTGCTCCCACACTTCCACTCGGCTACCATAACAACCAGATTTGGCAGCAGTGGGTTTTTTTATGACTTCAAATATCTTTTGGGGGGTTTAGGGGTTGAGGGTTGGTTTTGATCACTTCAAACGTCTTCCTTAGGGCTTTTCAGGGGTTCTAAGTTGGGGTTTAGTACTTCAAAAGCCGCCTCATACCCGAAATCCCGCATGCCCTTGCAGCCTCGACGTCCCCGGACGATTGTCCCGAACCCTTGGGACCAGACGGCGCGGCAAAATTGTCTGCCAGGAGCATGTGTTTAGGGTTTAGGGTTGTGGCTTCACAAAAACCTTAAACCCCATCAACCCTAAACCCTCAATCCCTCAACGTTAAACCAACCTCTCAACCCTAAACCCTTAAACCCCAAACCCCTCAACCTTAAGCCCTAAATCCTTACACCTCAACCCCTCAACCCTAAAGCCTTAAATCCTAAACAACTCAACCTTAAACCATAAACCCCTCAACCTTACACCCTATACCCCTAAACCCTAGCCCCTGCGCCCCAGACCTGATGCCCGACACCCTATCCTAAACCCTACACAGAGACAACAGGGTATATTTTGCTATAATTATACTAAGGAGGCCCCCAAAATAGTATAGGCAATTATTAAGGCCTCATCAGTAATCACCCCTTGCTTATTGACACTGAGAACCCCCTTCTTATGGGGTCAAGAAACCCAGGAATTCCGTTTTGTACTGGTATTAGGGTTTAGGGCTTAGCGGAATGTAGCCCAACATGCTCTTCTTTTGAGAAGCCAATGGGAGAACTTTAAGCGTTTCGGCCTTGTGTATGTGGTCCATGACAAAAGATTGAGCTTTTTATGGCCCCGGTCTTGAACATGAGAGTACTTGAACGTACTCTGCACTGCTATTGGAATTATCTCTTGGCCCTTTGGTTTGTTTCTGTTCGTTTCAATGGCCGGATGTTGGTGTTTTTTTGTCGCGGATCTCTCTAGGTTCAAGATGTAGGTACCCAGATCTTCCCATACTGTATACCCTATCAAGGATACTAGGGGTTTAGGGTTTATAGTTTTGAACCATATTAGGGATCCCAGTGTGACTCAAGGCAGATTCCTGAAGTACATGTAATTTAGGGGTATTGGAAGATCGGGGGATTGGGTGTAAGCTCAGCACCAACGGTGCCTGTTTGGCGCCGACGAAAGATTCACTACTCAAGTGTTCCAAAGAACCCAAGCCCTAAACCCTAAACCCTAACACCCTGAGCCCTATACCCTAAATTTAACTCCTAAACCCCAAACGCTAAACCCCTAATCCCAAGCCCCTAAACCCTAAACCCGAAACCCTAAACCCTACCTAAGTCCTGAACCCTAAACCTCAAGCCCTCCGCCCAACCCAACAGCTGTGAGCTCAAGGTTTTGTAATGAATACATAAAGGGTGTCATATTTAGAATTCGTATTCAGGGATTAGGGGTTTCGGGTTTAGGGGTTGATGGAAATAACTTCCTATACTATTCTGAGGGTTCCTCATTATAACTATGGTA